GGAAACTACAGGGATTATAGGCGATACTTAGGGGTTATATTGGGGTTATATGGGGGTAATGGAACCGAAAAATAGAAACTACTATGTTTTAACGATATATGATCCAAAGGAAGCCTATCTACCCTGCAGAACACGCTCTCTTGCTTCGTGCAGTGTGCAGGAAGTGCAGGAACTGTCCCTGCTTACAACTGGTCATGCTGACTGTCAGACTTGTAACCTAAACCGTACCCTACACCCAAAAACCTAAACCCTAAGCCAACAGCTCAGAAAAAACATTCTGTCTGAATGGCCGGCAGTCTGAAAGGATATGGCGAAGTCGGCCTTGTTCCCGAAGAACCCACCATGTTGGCGATAGTAGCTGACCTAGGCTCGGTAAGTTGCATTGTGATCACGAGGTTTAGGGGTTTAGGGTTTGTCTTTGGGGCTTGGAGGTCACCGTGCAGAAGGCTATAGATGGCTATAGGATATTAGTTATCTGGTTGTAAATTAGGCTGCTCCTGCGGCGCAAAGCACAGAAGCTACAATGCGATAGAGGTTTCCCACACGATTTCCCCATGGTCGGCCACAAGAAGGAAGGACAAGTCCCCAACTCATGTCCTCCAGCAACAACTCTAAACCCTAAACCGCGCCTTGAACTACTGTTGATACTAAAAATCCTGCATGACCTCACTAGACTATTCTACCAGAATTCCCAAGGTTTAAGGCACTTAGGGTCATGCAGGATTTTTAGTATCCACCGTATGTGCGTCGTCCAAGAAGCGTTCAGGGATCGCGATTCAGGGCAGTAAAGGGCTTTGAGCCCTAGACGTAAGCCCCTACACCCTAAATCGCTCTGAAGAGTAAAACCTTAAACCCTTATAAGCCCATACCCTACACCTGAGATACTAAACCTTAAAACCGTACATCCGAACGCCCTCAAAACTAAGTACTAAGTCCTAAACCTCATTTGCTTTAGAAACTTCACGAACCTCCCCCATCACTTGCGCAGTCCAAACATGACGCACTGTCAAGTTCTCCAGCAAATCAACGAAGTCATCCAAGCCTCGGGTTCAGGGCTCAGGGATTTTAAGTTTAGGCTTAGGGTTTGGGGGTTTTCTAGCGGTTACAAAGGGCTACGCAAGCACTTGGGGCTGTAGGCCTAGGGTGCAGCGCTGTGGGTTGAGCGGGTCAGGCTTCAGGATTCAGGGCTGGGGTATAGGGATTTAGTCTATAGGGCTTAGGGCTTGGGATTTTGGGCTACAGTTTACATTCTTCAGGTTTTGGGTTGAGCCTCTCAGAATTCGAATTCAAGGACATCCGATAAACACAAACACAAAAGCCTTTGTTTAGAACAAGAGGATTCTGGTAGCCCCAATCCCCACAGCTTGGGCCCTTTATATAGTTAACTAACCATCATCTGACCACTCATACGATCCTAATATCAAGGTCCTTAAACCACTAAACCCTAAATGGTAGTTTCCATTGTCTTTTCCATTATCCCAATTATCCCTATATATCCCCAATAAATATGGGTAGTTCCCAAAATTACGGGGTCCTATTCTGGTATCCCTAAATATTAGGTGCCGTAATACAATCTATGACCACAAGGGGCCCATAATTTTGAGAACAACCCATATTACAGCAACCCTAAGAACCCCCTTTACGAAGGATGTAAACCCCCAACCTTGGGTTTAGGGTTTAGGCCTAAACCCCAAACCCTAAACCCGAGGCGGAGGTTGCAGAAATCCCCTTCTTCGGCTGAGCCAAATGGCTAGATTGGCTTGCTGAGGTTGCTCCGATGCAGCCTTTGCCTGGGCTGCTGTTAAGGAACTCCGTTTCAGTTAATATTTTGGGGAAACCCTATTATTTACTAAATATGTGTATATATATATATTCACCCATTATGGTAATTTGATTTAAGTTCCATAAAAGCAACCCAGTTGCTTGCCTGAAGCTCCTGTGGCTGCGCTTGTTGTGGCCTAGGTGGCCACTTGGCAGAGACTTGGAAGTTCAGAGATTAGGATATGAGCCCTAGTCTAAGCTCCTAGTATCCACCTTCATAACCCTTATAGTAACCCCCTATATAACCCCTTGTAACGAGCGAGACTACAGCTCATATAGAGTTCAGGCCCCTAGCGTCTTAGCACCAAACCTTAAACCCTGACCCTAAACCATCATGAGTTCGGTTCCCTGCAGTCTGGTTCCATCCTCCCGGACACAGGCAGGAATCCGCTGTAGCAGCTTAACAAAATGTGCTGGGTTTGGGGCTGTGAGGTACAGTAGACTCTAGATATAGGGAATCGTAGGAGAACGTACTGGCACTGGTTCAGGTTTCTACAGAAGGAATATGATCTGACTTGCAAATGGAAACCCCACTCTGCGTTTCAAGGTCAATGCACTGCGGTGAGCACAGTACCTCTTCTCACCGCTGCGCAGTTTTGTATGGAAATCATCATCACTTCAGCTTACGGCCAAACATGAGAGTTTCCCAAAATAAGGGGA